GCCGCCCGCGGGCCCCCCCTGGATGGCGGGCGGGCGGCGGCCCAGCGTCCCCCGACCCGCCTTCTACTTCGCTGCAGGTCCGGGGCGCAGCTCTTGTGGTCGGCTGCCCGCACCGTGCTTCTCGTCTGCCTAAGGAGTGTCTGATGGCGACCGTCAGGCGCTCTGACTCCCCAGTCAGATCATCCCGGATAAAGCGTTATTTTAACTTTCTTGTTTAATGCAGTCTACCAGTGCTTATGTTTGGAGATATGTAACACGTATGGCAGTGAAAGCCTGTTTTGTTTTAAAGCCAAGGAAAATATCCAGGAAATGAAGAAAGAGCTTGATTCACTTTTGCAAACAGCTGAGAAGGCGTTTACAGTGGAGCTGCTGAAGATGCCGGTTGCCATCAGGAAAATGAGAAGAAAAGACTTGCTTAGTAAGTGTGTGTGGTCTTATATTTGCGAGGGATGCAGGCATCGTTATAGCATGATGTACCCTTGACTAATGTGAGAAAACCTGTAAACTTGGTGACTTCCATGAAAAAGTTTGCTTTGTCTGCTGAATGTTTTGAGCTAATCAGTAGTGGTATTACACTGCAGGTGTTCAGTAAACACTCATGTTCAAGTAGACTGATCTGTGTAACACAGGGTATAGAATTAGTAGGTTACAGTATATAGAGTCTGGAGCCTTCTTTTATGTCTGCTTTTAAGTCATCTTATTTAAAGCCTGAAGAGAGAAGGAATAATTCCAAGTCTAGTATTTTCTGTGCGTAAAAACTTAAGCATTTCTTTCCATCTGAATCTGTTCATCCTAGCCGCAGAGATTATTTTGTCTTTCTGTTAATTTTAAGTCTTTCACTACTGAGCCTTTCTCATCTAGTTGTTTACCTGTGATGATGAGCAAACAAGTTTAATTTTAACCTCAGGTTTATGCAGCAGTTTAAGCTGTGGTGTACAGTCAGCATCAGGTGTATATTCTGGTGAGAACTGATGTTTTTGGAATCTACCTTGCAGCTGGAAATTGCAGGGGCCGCACAAAGACCAAACCTAAGACTCTTGAAGAACTTGAGTTTACTGTAAGCCTTTAGCCTTTGCTGAGTATGTACTTCAATGTCTGTCTTGAAAACTTCTGCCTAAAAGCATTAGCTTTCAGCAGTGCAAGGTATGGAGTTTTTCCTTCTTTGAATTCAGGTTATATACTCTGTGACTACGCTTAGTATCCTTTCAAAGATTAAACATACTGAAATGGCCTAAGATTTTCATTGTTGTTTTGTAGGAGTGACTATCCTGCAAGACTTGAACCTTGTTCAGGTGCAACATACATGCTAGCTAAGATTAACTATTTAAGCAGCTGTAATCCTGAACTACTTTGTTCAGCTTTATAGCCCATAAGAACCTGCAGATAATAATTATGCAAGTAATAGTATATAATAAACAAGTTATACCTTCTTGAGTTACAGATTTGCAAGGAGGGGAGGAAGTGGCTCTTGCTGCTGCAGTGGTAAGTGTGTGTTTTCAAATTTTATCACAGTTTACAGAATAGAAGTCTTCTTTCCCTGCTGTAAACATTTCAGACAAATGATTTTGTTTGGCTGTCTGTTTAAATACAAGTTAATATGAACAGGCTAGACAGCTAGCCATGGTGCAGTTATGCACATTATCTAAAGACTTAGGGTCATCTGCAGGCAGAAATCCAGATGTTTCTGAAAAAATAAACTGGTGTTTAGCCAATCCTACTTTTGTCATTTGTTTTAGTGCCCTTTTAGTTCACTGCCTTTTGTAGGCTAATATGCATCTACTGGGCAAAATCTGTTGACTTTCCCTTGTCAGATAAACTTTTTTTTTTTTCAGACTGACTGCTCTCTACCAGACATACCAAATCCAAAACTGGTGACGACAAACAGCAAAAAAGGCAAGTCAATCCATTAATATCTAGCTTGGTTCTTAAATTATTTTTTTTTTAATTGGTTTGAACTGAGCATTTGTAAAGTGAATGTTAAGCCTGAAGGATACAAGAGGGAAAAGTGTATAACAAGTATAACATACAGGTCCCCCCAGCATCCAGTGTGGAGGATCATGAGCTATGCTACAGTCGAGGTGCTTTAAAACATGAGATAAGAGCTCCTGCCCTTTGGATTTATCACTGAAAATGGCGAGAAGAGACACATTTAAGTGACTTGTCAGTGCTTTACTGTATAGCAGAAGAGCTAGGAAAGTCACCCCTATTTTCTCATAGGTTCCCCTTTGACCTCCTACCCATTGAGGTTTGTACAGAAAATACCATTTCTCTTCATACTGCAAAATATGCAATAAGAAGGACACTACCACTGAAATGTAATTCTGTTTTGTCTGGGGGGTTGAAGGGTTATCAAGTGTCTTTTAACTGTCCTGTGTGTCACAGTGTCTGTGACGAACACACATAGTTTGCTTTGAACTCTGTCCCAGGCGAATGACCATTGGATAGCAGAACTGATACATAGCTGCCAGTGGGTAAATAGGCTTCAAACAAATGAGTTTGAAGTGGTGTTTTGTGTTCTTCATGAGATTTTTGTTTTCCTTGTCTTTCTAATATATTTGTAGTTAAGGTAACTACAATTGTTGAATATGAAGATGCCAAGCACATTTCTGGAAAGAAAATACCTAAAAAAGTAAGTTTATTCCGAACAAACAACATAAGGGTTTAATCAGTTCTGACCTGCTGTGAACCCTGCTAGATCCATGACAGGGCAGGCCAGGGGCCTGCTGTTTGTCTGAAAAATCAGTGGTTTTAAATTCAATGTATTTTAAGTTAAGCAAGGCTAAACTGTATAGATTAATTTCATAATGAAATATGGTATCTGCACTTCTGGTAACTCATTCACACAGACTTGTGTGACTTGGAATAGTCATTCTCTGTTGACTTGCAATTAAGTCTTGATGGTTTGAGGAACCATTTTTTGTTGAAACTTTTTTAAAAGAAAATTTGAATTGATGTTTTAATACATGCTTTTCTATATTTGAATGAGTTGTTCATTCCTGCCCACCTTGATCTCTAAACCAAATAGCACAGGTGTATTAATTTTACCACCTCAGTCCATCTGTGCAATGCAGTGCCTCAGCCACACACTGAAGTATGTAGCAAGATGACAACAAAGATGGAAAGATTACATGCAGAGTCACAGGCATTAATTATAAGAGGGCTTACAAGTTGGAATGGTGTATATTAGAAAGGTGGTTGGTTGTACAGAACTTAAGTATGAACAAACATGTTTTGGCATTATGAAACTCTTGTTTTAGAACGCATATTTGCCATTTTATGTGTATGTAGAACCATATAAAAGGCAGCACTATGGGGCTTAACTATAAGGGAATTCTTACAGTATTGTTCCCTGGAAATATCTATCATTTTGCCTTAAAATGCCACTTTTTAACTGCAGTCTTACATATACATTTTTAGGTTTCCAAAACAAAGTCATTGGTTTCATTGGCCTCTGGTTTAAATAGCAAACGGAACTCTCTTTCTAGGTAAGACTGACCTTTGATAGCTTATTTAACTCGCCTGAACTTGTGAATGCTGAAAAATCCTCTTTTCAGACAATAGTAGCTGAGATTTGAGGCCAATAGCAATACATCTGATAAAGATGTCTTCCATAACCTGAATCAGATGCATGGTAGTGATGTGAACCCTGAACAAAAAAGCACCTCTAGCTGATGAAGGCATGTAGTTGTATCTCTCCCACTGAATGGTGCGCAGTTCTGGATCTATGTAATCGGTATAGATTTCCAGACCATACTTAATGGAAGAGAGTGTGCAAGGGAAACATCTTTGTTGCTCTGTCAAGAGTAATGAATTGTTTTGTAATAATTTTGCCTTCATACATAGCTGAAAGGGAGGTGTCATTAGCAGGAAAATACATACTTGCAAAAACACTGTAGAGCTACTTACAGTCATGATGGACCATATTCAAGTCTCACTATAAGATGTAATGAATTAAAAAGAATTGGTGGGTTTCTGCA